TCTCAACTTCGTGATCCCATGAATATATGGATCTTACATAAAATATCTAATAAAAGGCTAAAAATAGCTAATAAAAATGAAAATAATAATAGTAAAGATATTTTAACACTCCCCCTCAAGCTGGAGTGAAGATATTAGTCAAGCCTAGCTTGGTAATCGAGGAATGAAGCAAAGATGGACCAACAGATTTGGTGAACACATCGGCCGACTGATTAGAGTATCGAACAAAGCACGGCTTGATAATTCCCGAACGAACCTTCTCTCTGATAAAATGAATGTCCACCTCTATATATTTAGTCCACTCGTGAAGAATAGAATCTGAAGCAAGCATGCTGGTTGACTTATTATTAAAAAACAAGTCTTAGGACTGTTTTTCACCTAGCCTTAGCTCCTCCAAGAAAGATCGAAGCCAGAGAATCTCACAAGTACCTTGACCCATGGCACGATACTCAGCCTCAGCTGAAGATCTCGAAATTACAGGTTGTTTCTTACTTTTCAAAGATATAAGATGGTCTCCATAGAAAGTTCAAAAGCCAGATGTGGAACGTGTGTCAGTCTTGGACCCAGCCTAGTTTGCATCACTGAAACAGGATAGCCCAACCTGCTTGCTAGAAGAATAGAATAATCCAAGTCCAGGACAGGACTTAAGATATCGAAGAATATGATATACCGCATCCATATGAGTTGTGCGAGGAGCATGCATAAATTGGCTCACTACACTTATTGCAAAAGCCAAATCAGGACGGGTGTTGGTAAGATAAGTCAATCTTCCTACCAAGCGCTTATATTGCGAGGGATCAGAAAGGAGATCTCCGAACTCGGCCGAGATCTTCAGATTAGGATCAATAGGAGTGGAAACAGGTTTACACCCAGGCATACCCGTGTCTCGAAGAAGATCCAAGGCATACTTCCTTTGCGATAAAGAGATACCCTGCATAGATCTAGCAATCTCAATTCCCAAGAAATATCTTAGCTGCCCAAGGTCTTTCACATCAAAAGCTTTAGCCAATTAAAGCTTTACTTGAGCAATCCCAGGGATGTCATTGCTAGTAATGATGATATCATCAACATAGACAAGCAGAATGATACATCGACTAGTGGAGAAACGGTGGATAAAACATGTATGGTAAAATGGCATCTAACAAATTCCATGGATAGAATTACATCCCTGAAGTGGCTGAACCACGCTCTGGGAGATTGTTTTAATCCATACAAAGACTTCCGCAATCGATAGACCTTTCCAGCATACTCCCCCTCATCCCGAAAATCAGGTGGAGGATCCATGTAAATAGTCTCAAGAAGATCACCGTTAAGGAAAGCATTCTTCACATCAAGCTGATGAAGAGGCCAATTGTGAGAGGCAGCGAGGGAGACAAACAAACGAACTGAGGTCAATTTAGCCACTGGAGCGAAGGTATCATTAAAGTCTATACCAGGAATCTGAGTAAACCCTTTGGCCACCAAACAGGCTTTATGCCGATCAATAGAGCCATTAGCCACATATTTAAGACTGAAGACCCATTTGCAACCAACAATCTTTTCACCAGGAGGGAGAGATACAAGCTCCCATGTTTCATTATGCTGCAAAGCATCCATTTCTACCTTCATAGCAGACATCCAATTGGGATTCTAAAGAGCCTCAGATAACTTTTTGGGAATGGAAATGGAATCAAGTTTGCCTAGAAAGGCTTGGTAAGACCCTGAAAGACCATCATAAGAGATATAATGCGAAATAAGATGATTAGTACTACAAGCGAATCCAAATCGAGTTAGGGGTTTGCGGTCCCGAGTGGGATACCAAGACTCAAGAACAGGAACAGGGTTATGGCAATGTAAAGGAGAGAGATATGTACCTGAACCTGACTCTGAGGAGGATGAAGGCTGTGGAGGCGGGAGCACGAGGGCGGCGTGAATAGACCAGCAAACGGAGTGAGGAAACCACAAGAGAAGGCTCTTCTTGAAAAATAGGAAGAGGGTGAGCAAGAGTAGAAGCCTCTTGATTGAGAGTAGAAGTTTCCTGCAAAATAGTGTTAGAACCATAAAAGGTGTATGCTTATGAAATGTGACATCAAAAGAGTGATACATGTGTTTGTGTACTGGATTATAACACCGGTAACCTTTTGACATGGAAGAGTATCCTAAAAAGATACATTTCATAGCCTTGTCATCAAGTTTAGTACGAGAAGAGCTATGATTCTGAACAAAACATGTACATCCAAACACCCAAGGCATGATGGAAAAAATAGTAATATCAAGCTGAAGCACTTATAAGGGGGCCTTACCATTTAAGACTCTACTAGGGGTATGATTAATGAGAAAAGTAGCTGTAAGAACCTTCATGTGCTGGTATGACTTTGGCATATTCATACCACTTAAAAGACTTCGAACAACTGACATTAGTTGGCAGTTTTTATGCTCTGCAACACCATTCTATTCAGGGGTATATGGGCAAGTAAGCTGATGAAGAATACCCCATTGGTTAAGTTGAGACCGAAACTAATTTGAAACATATTCACAACCATTGTTAGACCTAATGTTTCTAACAACAGTTTTATATTGAGTTTTGATCATTTGAAGGAATTGAGTGAACAAGGGAAAAACTTCAGATTTCTTTTTAAGTAAATATACCCATGTGCAACGGGAATAATCATCAATGAATGTGACGTAATAACGATGCCCCAAAAAGTAGTAATAGGAGGACCCCACACATCAGAATGTATAAGATCAAACATACTAGGTGCACGATGCATATGAGAAATATTACTGGTTCTAGTATGTTTAGAAAGCTCACAAATCTCACATTGAAACTTATTATCCTTACAAGCCGTTATTAATGAAGGGAAAAGTAGACATAAATACTGAAAGTTAACATGCCCAAGGCGAGCATGCCATAAACTTAAGAGTCTAAAATGAAAAATCATAGGACCTGGAATGGAAGAATAGAGGCTTGAAGCAAGTCGAGGAGGTGTCGGTGGAGGATCCTTAAAGTAGTAGACGCCATCGTGCTCATATCCCCTGCCAAAAATTCTCTTCGAACACAGGTCCTTTAAAACACAGTAATGAGGAAAGAAAATCACTGCACAGTTCAGTGATTTGGCAAGTTTGCTAACAGATAGAAGATTAAATGCAAAGTTAACAGATGGCAAAATAATATCAGGGGATAGATGAACATTTCCTTTGCTAGGGGATAGATGAACATTTCCTTTGCTACGAATAATGGTGGTTGACCTATCTGCTAGACTAACAGCCTGATTAACAGGGGTAATGGGAGTAGAAAATAGTGACAACTCACCAGTCATGTGATCATTGGCTCCGGAATCCAGAACCCAAGTAGGTTTTCACGCTTTAACATGACAAGCAAAAGGAGTACCTGTAGCAATAGTAGTCGTGGGGGTAGAAGAGTCGGCCCCAGTAGATAAGGCTCCAAACTGCTGCTGAATCTGACCAATCTGGGACTGTGACTGTTTGAAGTCCTAAAAAGATAGTCTTGGAGGAGTTGAAGTAGGAGGGACAACAATATGTGGAGTAGTATACCCACCAATAGTATTGGCTACTGCGGCCACGGCCCGAAGATAATGTGTACTTTTGGCTACTAGAATCACTCATAATACCAAACTAAGGCTGGTCCACACGTCGAAGAGGGAGGAAAGATAGAAACAAGGCCGGAAAAATCGGCGCTTTCCTCTTAATATGCTGCCAAACAAACACCGGCAGCCCGCAAAGATAAAAAAAACACTAGAAGGATCCTTAGATCATAAAAAAAAAAAAACTAAGGGAATTCTCCTAAAAAAGGAGTAAAAAACAGAGGGTTACCTGAGGGGTCCGGCGCAAGGGCTGGGAGGAGATGGAGGTACGCTGGAGGTGAGGGAAAGTGGAGAGAGGGAGAGAGAAGTTGGTGGTGTTGGGGAGGAAGATGGGGATGCGAAGGTTTTTTTTTTTTTTTTTGCTCTGGTACCAGAAAGAAGAAGTTTTGGGGTTTGGCTTACTCAAACCGAGAGCCAAGATCTATATTTATATACAAGAATATGGTACAAAGAAAGGAAACTAAATCAAAGAAAAACAGAAAATATGCCAAAATCTACGTAATCCCATGATTATTGGGATTTTATCTACATGATTCCATGATTATGGGGATCTTATATAAAACACCTAATAAAAGGCTAAAAACAGTTAATAAAAATAAAAATAATAATAGTAAATATATTTCAACATTCATCATCACACATTTAGATGATTAGTGAATTCGAGTGTTAACAATCATCAAACCAGAAGCTGTTAGGTATACAACACCACAAGTAATTTTCATACATCAATCAAGGAAGTTTGGACGTTTCTGAGATTGAATTTACTAGAGGAAGGGAGGACTACATGAGGAGATGAGTTTGTTGACCATCAGTAGAGATGATAGAGTATTGTTTGGCATAAGTCTGGGTCAGAGGTAGTTAAGGGAGTCTTAAATTAGAGTCTCGCTAACCTAGTTGTAGACTTCCTTTACCTAGTTAATTTGTTCTGTCTGGACTAGGTTAGGTGGTTTTCCCCTTTTTCTACATTTTAGCTCAGTTATGTGGGTCAATGAATAAAGACACGGGATTGGTTAGCATTTTGATGAAAATTTTCCACAATTCTAGTTTGTATTGCTCATATGGAGATACAAAAAGGCACAAATTACCCTTGCATCCTACTAAAGTTTAGAAACTCAAATTTGGAACAATTTCTAATCCTAGTTATAGAGCGATACTAAAGAACTATTTTTTATTTTAATTAAAGTTGGAAGATGGAGATGGATGTGAACATCAATGTTCATGCTGTATAACATCTCATTGTGTTTATACTAGTACTAATGAAGTTATCAATACAAAAGTATGCTTTGTGCATCTAGTAATTATGTGATATATTCATCTCTTGTAAATACTTCTGCTGGACTTCTCTTTTGTAGAGAAACTTCTATCTTTTTTCCTTTTCTTCATTGACGGGATAACATCTGCTTATATCTTTTACAGAAGCCTATAGTAGACAGACTCGGAGAAGCTTATGACAACCCTGCGAAGGTCAGTTTATTAACTTCCAACTTCCCCCTGCCCCCCTACCTCAATACAAGTGTGTGTGTGTAAGCGAACGATTATACACTGATTGTCCTACAGATGGAGTTGGCATTACAACTTTGTTGGGCAATTGGGGAGCATGGAGGGGGTGGTGAGTCTCATAAAGATGCAGCACGTGAACTTTTTGAGAGCTTGGAACTGCTTTTGTATGAGAACCTTTCATCCAGGTACCTTCTATAATAGCCCTCTATTTTAAACTTTTATGGATTCACATTGTAATCTTGGCTATATTGCATACTGATTTCTATCTTCTCCTTTTGTTGGTTTTGGTAGTCGTCTGGGTCTAAGTGAGTCAGCTCTTAGCTCCGGTGGTTCAGCCTTCAGAAAATCGTCGCAATCAAGGCTTCTGTGTTTTGTTGTGACAGCAATAGCAAAGCTTGCCACACACCACCGTGAATTACTACCAAGGGCTCGTGTATCCTTGGCCAAGGTTGGTCTTGTCTGTTTTGACCGTAATGTATGGGAAAAAAAATATTGATGATGATGACTACTACAGTTAGTATGTTGCTCACAGTTTTATATATAATTCAGCTTACAGAATCTTGTTCTGATATGCATCACAGGTGGCTCGTTCTCGAATCTCAGATGTCAGGGTTTGGAGGCGTGCTCGTGATTATTTGGGTTTAATGAATGAACCTGCTATATGTTCGTCTGTCCTGGGTCCTTCACGACCTTCACATGGATGCATGAATAATCCAGGCACTGTCAACTGGAATGAAGGCGGCACAAAAATGATTGCTCATATTCCATTTTACATTCTTGGTGAACAAGAAGGTAAATGATTTGTCATGTGATGATTCCTGTGGAAATTTGAAATTCTGAAATATGCAACTTAGCTCAAAATCCTCTTTTTTGACTTTCTGAAAGGCATCATAATTGTATGTGTAGGCCTATAGCTCTTGAATTGATGATGTTCACATCTTTCTAGTTGAAAAGTAATTCAACAAATTTTAAATTTGACTTCAGACGATTGCATGCTACATGCTGCTCTTTGGGGTTTTAGCAATCTTTAACTTCAATTTGTAGGGGCAATGTTATTGTGCCCTGTTCCACCCTAAAATGTGCCAAATGCACTTTTGATAACATTTCTATGAACAGTCGTTATGACTCCGTTTGTTTGGACGTAAAATATTTTCTTTTATTTTTATTTTTCGGTGTTTGGCAAAGGTAAGTCGAGATTGAGGTTGAGTCCATCAAGTAGGGAGTGTAAAATAGCTTGTCAAAAATTAATGAATAAGTTATTTTTGTTAGGTTTTAATATTTTTTTTTCTTTGTAAATATTTTACAACGACCAAACACTAGAAAACACCGAAAATGTTTTTTTGAAAAATATTTTACCCTTAAACAAACGGAGCCTACAATGTAATAGAATGTTATTTAGAAGTTGATGCCATTTGCTGCTGCCAGATGGGCTTTAGCCAATATTGTAGCTTCCCTCGTTTTCACTTCCATTAGTATGGACTTAATATCTACACTCTCTGTTGCAGGTCCTCCATTCCACGATTTTTCCTTCTCAGATATCCTTCCCAGAAGATAATGAAGCTTATTTTGCAGAAAGAAATGAATTCCTGGAATCCCCAAATTTATATCATCCCAAGGTATCCCTGGAATTCCTTTTATTTAGCCATGTCCGTGCTTGAGATATCAAACTTGGAGGTTTCCGATACAGGTAATTGTTGAGAAATGTAGACTGGCGCAGACGATTTGCTGGACTTGGCTATCCCTGTACCTTTTATTTATTTATTTTTTATTTTTTTGAAGGTCAAGCAAATTGTATATTTATATAAATAGAATAATACAGCATAGCTGAAGATTACATGGCCCAAAGGCCCAAGAGAGTAATGCAATACAAACATGGCCCATTAGGCCCAAACCCTTGTAGAACCTGATACAACTACTCGAGGCACTGTACCTTTTTTTTTTTTTTTGGGCGTTTGCAATTGTTCTTGATGTGGTGGAATATTGTGGAGTGTCATGGCATTTATTTGATTAATTGATCATTGGCCTTCTATTTGCCAAACTATGCTTTTATTGGATTGTAAATTATGCCTTTAATATAGGGTTTAAGTGCAAAACCCCCCTAAACTATTGCCCTTTTGCAAATAACCCCCTAAACTAAAAACAGCCCAGTGAACTATTGATTTGTTGCAATTAAGGACAAATCAATCACGAAAGACTATTTTACCCTTTCTCATTAAAATTTTCATTTCTTATTAAATTATTTTTATTATCTTCTCTCTTAAGTAAATATTAATTATACTATTTACCTTAATTTTATTTTTAGTATCAATTTATTACAAAATTGAAAGAAAAAAAATAGATAAATAGATTTGTAACTATCTTTTTCTAAATTGATTAACTTATTATCAAAACTTTATTATTTATAATAAAATGTATTATAACCAATTTAAGCATTTTTATCGTAAAAAAATATCATTTTTTCAGACAATATATTGATGAAAAATTAATAAAATACTTTTGAAAAAAATACTTTCTTTTCATGTAATATATTTATTAAAAATTAAAAAATAAATTAATTTTTTTAAAAAATTTTTGCTAAATTTTTTTATTTAAATAATTAATTAAAAAAATTAAAGGTAAATTTATGTAAATTTAATGGAAAATATCTCATCAAATTAGTATGATTTTTTTTCATAATTTATTTAGATAAGGAAAATATATTAAATGTAATTCAATAAGAAGGGATATTATGGTCATTTAATAAAATATAATATAGTCATTGGGGTATGTTGCAACAAAATAAGATAGTTTAGAGGGTTTTATGTACAAAATATAATTTAAGACGGTTATTTGCAAGTTCAAACATAGTTCAATGGGTTTTTTTGCACTTTACCCCTTTAATATATAACCTTTGCGCCAGTTGAATTTAGATTGGAGAATCTTAATCTCAATTACTTGGAGCCGACCTCACTCTGTGTGTGTGCGTTTTCTATTTTAGGGTAAATGGCACTGACACCCTTTAAAGTTTTGGTCAACGTCACTCAGTGAACGGTCAATGGCTTTTTTTACATTGACACCCCCTGAGCATAGACTTCCTCAAAAGATGAAAAAGACTCTTCGGAAGTTCCAAATTGCCAGAACTCGAGAAGAATGCAAAATGCTCGAGCACCATCCAAAAAGCTCGAGCAGAATGCAAAATGCTAGAGCACCATCCAAAAAGCTTGAGCAGAATGTAAAAGGCTCGAGCACCCCAGCCAAGGTGATTGAGCACCTTGAAAAAGAAGTCCAAAAATATTCTAAGTGCTGATGAAAAGACGCTTCAAAGAGATTAAAGAGGCCTCGACAAAATCTTAAAAAAAACGCCCTCCAGGAAGCGATTTTTAGGGTTAGGGTTTGCATGTCCTTAGGTTATTTTATAGAGGCTTATCCTCATAGAGGAGGGCAACTCCTCTTCCCCTCCATTGTCGGCTGTGTCTCCGAGCCAGCATGATACCCTTACCCAACCAAAACTTTCATGGAGGAGTTGCTTTGCTTCTTTAACCTCCCCCTCTTCTGCTTTTACTAACCTGCAGTATCATAGTTCTAGTCGTGGATCGAAGGTTTCTATTACTATTGAAGATGTAGCAGACGAGATTGATTATTGGAAGACATCAGTGGTGGGCTATGTGTTGGGATGTCGTCCATATTATCATCACTTCAAGGCGTTTATAGAGAAAAGATGGGATAAAGATATTCTTTATTACGTTGGTGTATTTAAAGAATGGATTCTTCATGGTTCGGTTTCGAAATGAAGATTTGGTGCAACAAGTCTTGTATAGGATTCATACATTTGAAGGGAGATTGATAAATATGAAATAGTGGTGCAAGAATGTGGTTTTGGAAAGAGAAGCTTTGGATTCGGTACCTATCTGGACTCGTATACACGATCTTCATATGCATTGTCGCAATGCTGTATCGGTCTCCAAGGTTTGTTCTTCATTCTCGCATTCAATTTATATGGATGATCCGGCTAAATACAAAGACCAAGGAGGCTTCGTTCATGTCATGATTGAAGTTGGTATTTTTAAGGACTTTCCTAAAAACATGGTTGTTGACATGAATGGGCTGGATTGTAATATATCTTTTGAATATGAGTGGAAGCCTCACTTATGCTCCTTGTGTAAAAGGATAGATCATGTGGTGGATCACTGCCTAAAGAAAGTTATTCCAGTCAAAATGAAGAAAACCACAGATAGATTAATGGGTGATAAAACAGAAAGGAAAATTGGTGGACAATGGAGATGCCGAGAAGGTTGTTGACAAAATGCCTTAAAGAGGTTTAGAAGGAACTACTATTCAGGGAAATTCTGGTGCAACTACTATTTTGGAGGTATCTAATTCTTTTGATTTGCTTGATACTGATATAACAGATATAATGGAGGGGCATGGTGATGCAAGGGTTGATGAGGGACTGGAGTTAGCTAGCATAGATCAAGGGAAGTTGATCCCTATTATGGAGAGTCTTATTTAGAAGAATGATGAGGGGGTTGTTAGTCCAACTAGGGCTGTGTATGACCTAACACTAACTGAGGAAGAGGGCTCTAAGGAAGAAAATTTCAAGGAAAATTTACAGGAGTCACAGCAGGTTATTTGTAGGGAGGAAGTCTTAGTCAAGGGACTTTCTTATACTGATGGGGCTGGTAAAGAAACTGAGGGTAGTGGTAAGGTTGGATTTTTAGGTTCTGGTCCAGAAGATGTTGGTCTACAGGAATAAATAGAAGAACAAAAGACGAAACCTAAGAAGAGGTATCAAGCTCTACCCTCTGATAGGGTTATTATAGGTAAACAAATTGGCGGTGCTTTACCATCCAAGACTTTTTCTTAATGCTTGGAGTTTGGAATGTTAGAGGTCTAAATAGACCTAATATGCAGACAATTGTCAATGCCTGGATGGGGGAGAATAAATTCTCTTTGGTGGCTTTGGTGGAGACTAGAGTTAGACAAGGTAAAGCTAGTAAAATACAACGAAAAATTAACTCTAGATGGGATTGGTTGGCTAATTATGACTCTCACTTCTTGGGAAAAATTTGGATTGCTTGGGATCCTATGGTGTTTGAAGTTCAGCTTATAAAGGATGATACTCAAGTGATGTTTTTGAAGGTTAGACATATTTTAACAGGAGGGAATGTGTTTATTTCTGCTATATATGTTGCTAACACTGTGCAAGAAAGAAGGAAATTATAGTTGAATCTGAAAGATTAAGATGATGTGGTTGATAGTTCTTGGATTGCTACAGGGGACTGGAATATTTCTAGGTTTCATTGTGAAAAAATGGGGGGATTAAGAGTGCCTCAACATCTTCTTGATGAATTTAACCAAGTGATAAAAGATATTCAAATGGAGGAGTTACCTACTAATAATGATAGTTGGTGTTAGAGTAATAAACAAGAGAGAGATAGAAGGATTAATATTAAATTGGACAGAGTTCTTGTCAATGAAGACTGGTTACATAAGTTCACTGACACTAGAGTGCACTTGACACCTGTTTCTTTGTCAGACCACTATCGGATGGCAGTTACTTGGCATTTAGATTGTGCAGTAAGGCTTAAACCTTTTAAGTTCTTAAAAAATATGGTGTTTTCAACAAGAGGTAGAGGAGTTGGTGCTCAAAGCATGGATTGATCTAGTTGGAAGGAACCCTTACACAAGTTGTAGAAGAAACTTAGAGCTGTGAAATCTGTTATTCGAGATCGGAATAAGAAGAAAGGTAAGGTCTCTGAGTAGGTTCAAGTAGTGAGAGAAGAATTACATATGATTCAAATGGACTTGCTTAAAGATCCTATGAACCATAATTTAATTTCTAAAGAGAGAGATGTTACTTTGAAGCTGCAATCTACACTGGACTTAGAAGAAATTTTGTGGTGTCAGAAATCAAGGGTTAAGTGGCTTAAAGAGGGAGATAAGTGTTCAGTCTATTTCCACAATTTGGTCAAACAGAGGAGATGTTACAATGCAATAACTTGTTTGAAGCAACATGGTGGAGCAATATCCTCTGATCCTCAAGTGATTAAGGATTGGCTTGTGCAATATTATGAAGATTTATATACTGCCAAGGATTCAGTTGTGACATAAGTAGCTTCCCCTAGAACACAATTAGTAGTTGAAGATTTGCAGGAGCTTGATAGGGAGGTTACAGCTGAGGAAATTAAAAGGGTTGTGATAGCTTTTAGTCCAGAAAAAACACTTGGTCTAGATGGTTTTCCAGCCAGGTTTTTTTTTTAGAAATTTTGGCACATTGTAGGTACTGATTTGATTAATGCTATTATCTTCTATTTCAATGCTACTGTGTTGCCTATGGGGATAAACTCTACTTTCCTTGCCTTGATTCCAAAGCAAAATTATGGTGACAAGTTAGAGAATTACAGACCTATTGCCTTATGCAATCTTAGTTACAAAATTATTTCCAAAATTTTGGCAAATAGGCTAAGTGTTGTTCTCCCTAATATTGTTGGGTTGGAGCAGTCTGCTTTCATCAAGGGAAGAAGAATTCATGATAATAAATTGTTGGTGACTGATGTGATTAAAAACTTTGGGTTAAAGACAACAGGTCCTACTATGGCTTTAAAGGTTGATCTTAGGAAAGCTTATGATTCTATTAGTTGGGATTTTATTCGCAAGAATCTTCAGTTATATGGTTTCAGTGCAAATTAGACAAAGTAGGTTTTGCAGTGTGTTACTTCTACCAATTTTTTGGTTCTTTGCAATGGGGTGCCTACTGGTTATTTTTCAGCTAGGAGAGGGATTAGATAGGGTTGCCCTCTTTCTCCTCTTGTGTTTACATTAGTTACTGATCATTTCTCCACTCTTATGCATGAAAAAATTGTAGGAGGTCAGATCAAGCTGTGTAATGTGGTTCAGAAAACTGGATTGTTGGTCTCTCATGCCTTTTATGCTGATGACTTATTTATTATAGTGAAGGCAGATATCTACACTGTCAAGACAGTTGATGAGGTGCTTAAGAGGTTTCATAAGGTTTCTGGGCTTGAAGTGAACAAAGATAAGAGTTCAA